TGTCCATATTTTGATGTCATGATATGTAAATTAAAAATTGTTATTTTACGGTGACAATCTTGTTTTCTTGTGCCCAATAATGCATAATTTCATTTGATAAACACGTTTAGATTGAATGGTAATTTATAATCAGTCACAAGAACGTCGAATATGAATCACTTGAAAAAAACACGGGGGTGCTTAACTTTTTTCCAGGTGTATATATAAATATCCACACTTTATCGAGTTTTTGTGGGGGGTCCCATTTCCATACCATGCCTAGGGCCCCCATTCAGGCTAATCTGGCCCTGTCTGGATTAACTTTTAGAGTTCTGTTTATTTAAAAGATTTCCAGGTTTTATTTTTTTTTCAGGATGAAACTTTCATTTTCATAACCTGGGATGCCATAGTTGTCCATTTTAATCAATTTGCAGATCCTTGTAATTTTTTTTTAAATTGGTTCCTACTGAGTGTCCTGTATACATGCTATATCAGTTCTTGCCACATTAAATAGTAAACACCACTGTGGCTGTATTTTTTATTGTTTTCTTGGTGTTACATTTTCTACAGGTTGTACACTAGAAAGCCAGTCTATATATATATATATATTGTAGTTCAATGTTCATCTTTTCTCAGTATTCAAATGGTTATAAAGAACATGTGCTAAAATGTTTAAAAGCAAGGACACAATTGACAAATACAGCCACAGTGGTGTTTACCAATTAACCTGTTAGGAAGAGCAATAGTGTATATACAAGACAGACATGGCATTCGGTATAAATAAAAAATAAAGGAACATTCAAGACCTTGAAAATTTGTGAAAATAGACTCAACTGTTGCATCCCACGTTATAAAAACGAAACAACAGTTTCATCCTGAAAAAAAAAAAACAACTACCAAAATTTACATGTATGTGAAAAAGGTAAAAAATAAACCCATAAATCTTAAAAATTAATTGAAATATAAAAATGAATCCAAAAAAGTTCTCAATGACCAAATCAACTGAAACTCCTTCCCACTTCTCACATTGCTTTCCTCAAGGTTCTAAAGTTGTTGTTTTTTCTTAATATACCTGTTTGCAAGCTGTTTCAGTCTACCTGATGGTGGCTTTATGGGCAAAATCAAATTAGTAGTAAACAAAGTATTTGTGACATGTACAACTGTGTTTTAACAAATTCTGTAATTACACAGTTTTGCCAAGTATTAGTGTTTCAAGTATTAATTGGTAAATCATATTAAAGAGGAGGGGCACTTTTGAGAGGTTGACTTTTCTTTGTGCTCAGCTGCAGAGAGCAGTAAGATTTATTTTGTGTGTTGTACCTTTCATGGTAGAAGTACAGTATTCAATGTGGCAAATGATTGCTGTAACTGTAATACATTTTTGGTGCTTAGTGCCCATAACTTTAAAATTTAATACTACAATCAAAGTACTTTCTCTTTAAATACAGGTTGTTCATTCAGACTGACATACCAGCTTAAAAATTCTAGCTCAAGATAAACCAAAACCCCTATTGTCTGGGGCAGAGGAGGCTAATGAATATGACATAGACATCGATAACATAAGTTTCTTTATCTGGATGTGTTACTCTATTTGGCATGTGATATATTTCAATACTGACAGCATTTTAGCAGGTATGATTAGATTTATTCCAGTTTCATTACTTTTCAATAAACCAATATTAGTTAGTAGAAACTTTGTCATTATCATATGACATTTTTCTGTATTGTTAATCTGAATTTACTTGTCTTCTCTATTTAGTATAAAGATATTTTGCAAGCTTTCGGTGTTGAGTAGGCACATTTTAATGTAGTATTTATATATTGTAAGTGCTTGATACTGTTCTACTGAAAATCTTGTGTGAACCTAAAGAAATAAATGTTTTTAACCAGAAAATTATTTTAATTTCTAGCCAGGTTTGGGATGTTAGAGTTAATAACGATTTTTTTATATAGCATGTGTATTTCAGTTAAAAACTAAGTTAGCTACTTGTTGACCAAATTAGTAGTTTTATTTTTTATATACATAGATTGTAACCAAACACTTCTTTGGTCATTAAGAAGCTCTAGAATAAATATTTATAAAATCAGAATACACAGAAATGATTAAAATTGATGTAAAGATACAAGATAATTCTTCACTCAAACATGAAATGTAAGAGATTGTGATAAGTCTACACTAATGAAAATGTTGGTCAATTCCGTGCTTTACATAATGCCAAAATTGATTAAAAAGTAAGAACTTGCCTAAAATCCTTAATTGAAAAACAGTCATAATTACTTCAACCCTTTATGTGAAATTAAAGTTTTAGAAATGTATAATCAAATGTGTTTTTGGACTAGATGAAGATGCACCTAGTAAACAATACCAATATTTAACCTTTTCTACACTGTGGAAGTGTCACCGATATCCCTGAATTTTTTCCTTCTCCCATTTCAAGTACTGAATCAAATTGCCTGAAACTTATTAAAATGTTCAAAATCATATCTAGTTTTGACTCTAACAGATTGTATAACTTGATTTATTTCATCATTTTTTAAAAATTTCCAATTTCAGTGAAATTTCCAAAATTTTATAGAGAAACTTTTGAAAAATATTTTTTTGTATTAGAATTTCAGTGTTTTGTATTATTGATTGTCTGTATGTATAAAATAAATGGTTTGAACATTATTATGCCAACTGTAGTAGTCTCCACTTTTGGCTATAAACTACAAAAACTGATATTCATTGATGACCCATGACCTGACTGGTCAGTCTACATAACCATTTTTGCAAACAGTATTCATGGTTGAGATCAATTTATATCAAAGATGGTTTTGTTTTATTATAATAAAATAAAATTCACACATCTATTTTGTTTGAATAGGACAAACTTAACGATAATATTCAATAAATAAGGATTTGAATAAACAGAATATTTTGGCATTGCCTACTGTACTTTCTAAACCTATGAATACTCACTTGATATCTATAATAAAAAAATTTCAAACATATAATTTGACAAATTTTCAGGAATGAAAAGAACATATAAAGTAGCTGCAAAAAAAATTCCCAGATCTGTGGCTTGTTGACAAGTCTTCTAAGGTTCTCTCAAAATTCCATTGTTCTTAGAAGGAGCTACATCTAATCACTTTCCCATGTTTTTTGAAGAGAAACAGCCAATACACAGTGAAAGTTCTTTAATTTCTCAACATTTCACCTTACAGCTTTATCAAGAGATAGGCATCCTACAGCACACAAGCCCAGTCTTAACAGAACAAAACAACTGATATGATTTAAAATAATGTGTTCTCATGTATTGCTTGACATGCAGTCACATCATCGACAATGAAAAGGTAATTGAAATAAATGTATTACAAGAAAATAATTAAACACAAGTCACAAGAACATCCAAGCCTGATAAATATGGATATGTAAACAGTAATTGCAGTTAAAAACATGTATATACATTATTATAAAAGAAATAAAGTAGGTGTTAAAATGTTTACAGAAACATATACATAAATCCACCATTTAAAGTGCCAAACCTCTATCTGTTGTGTGAAGATTTCTCAGACCTGATGAAAAGGGATTCCTTGTAGTTCCTGTTTAGAAAACAATGGCATTTTCTTTCTGTTTTAGTACTAAAAAGGTGATCAGATTTAGGTACACTGTGCTTGTTAATAGTGCTTTAACTGCACTTTTATCAGTCTTGCTCATCATTGTACCATGGAGATGTCCTATGCAATGACCTTTTTACGAATCTCAGTTTCTCCAATATATAGTTATCTATAAATCTTATCGGGGACACTTTAAACTACATGTTTCTCCGTACATTTCTGCAGAAGTTTCAGATTACATGTGATATAGTTGTTGTTCTTACAGTAATTCTCCACCCTCTCACAATTTGTTCCATCTCACTTGCACCTTTGATTTTCTAAAGTTGAGCTCCAATACTGGTAAAATCATTGATAACAGCATCCTTTTTTTCTTTTGACATATATATGCTCTATACTCATCCATTCCAATCCATGAGGGAATAAACACTGTTATGTCCATTTTGGATCAACATAAGACTAATAGGGGTCTCTGCCTGATGTGTGAAGGTTTCTGGATTTTTATATAATGTTTTCAGGTTTGGAGAACAAATTTACTATCAACTACAAGGAGTAGCCATGATAATAGGGTGGCTGTAGCCATTGCTGTAATTTTTTGTGCATGCCACTGAGGCTAAATCAACCCCTGACTGGACATTTAGTGGAGAACAGTCTTCTGCCCTCTGGTTGCATTTTATTGATGATACTTATAGAATTTGGAAAGATGGTTTGAACAAAATTAATTTCATCAGTTCCTACACAAAGTTCACAATAATAATAACGTTTACTTTCTAATATGCTCTACCTGATGAGCACTTACAATTACTAGACACTTCTGTAGCTGTATTAAATGGTTAGTGATACACAAAAAAATCAATACATCTACATTTTCTCTCTCATAACCCGTGAGTCATGAAAAGGGCTATGATTTTTAGCCAGTTAAAACTTTTGTGTACTTGTTACAACCCTGGTAATTTAATAGAAGTGAACATAGATCTCCAGAGTTTAAAATCAAATGGGTATCCTGAGAGATTGGTTGACAAAATTGTTACCATTCAGGATAAATGAAGAAAAACAAACAGAATTCAGGAAGAAAATGTTGCATTTCTAACACCTTTTATTAGTCCTAGGGTTAAAAATATCATTAAGAATGCTGTGAGTGAATCACGTTTGCCTATATGTGTGGTAGAAAAGCCTGGATGTTCAGTTAAATCTCATTTAGTGTACTCAGCATTTAAATTCCACGATCATTGTCAGAAGAACAACTGTAATCTGCAACTTCTGAAGAAAGATGTAGTTTACAGTATCTATTGTGGGATTTGTAGCAAAAAAATATATTGGAAAACCCGAGTGACCTGTAAAAAGATTGTGCATCAATGATGGGTGAGATTAATAGAAGTGCACTTGCAACACACATTATTAATGAGCATGGTGTGCCTCAATTCAATCACCCTTTTAATAATAAAATAGAAAGAAAATGTCATAGTTTACTGGACAGGAAGTACAATAAATTCCTGCTCATCAGATCTGAGAAGACTTCAATCAACAGATATAGAGGGTTGCCATTTTAAATGGATTTATGTATACATGAACATTTTAACACCTGCTTTCTTTTGTAAAAATATATATATATGTGGTTTTAACTACATTTGCTGTTTCCATGTACATATTTATTAGGCATAAATGTCCATGAGTCTTTTGTTTTTGGTTTTAAATGAATATTTTTCTTCACTTTGATTATATTTTTTCGATACAGTTATCATTACTATTACTTTTCGTTGTTGATAATGTGATTGCATGTCAGACAATATATAAGAAAGCAATGTTCTTATTTTAAATTACATCAGATGGTTTGTTGTGTTAAGACTGGGCCTTTGCTCTGTAGGGTGCCTCACTCTTGATAAAGCTGTAAGGTGAAAAATTGAGGAATTAAAAGAATTTAAGCTGTAGTGGCTATTTCTCCTCATAAAATAGGTTTACACTCTACTATGCACTACACTACCTGAAATTACTTCCCATACCACTTTATTCATCTACAATGACAGTTCATAATCTCTATCAAATGGTATTTAAACTTTGTCTATAGCTGTTTTCAAAGCAGTTTTACAGATCACAAGCTATGAGGTCATAATATGGTGTGAAGGAGAGGCTGTATTTATCAAAGAATGAAAAGGAAATAGGGAGAGAAACAATTTTGAGAATTATATTTTTAAGGAATAATAGTTTCTAAGCAAGTAAAACCTATGCTTTGGTAAGAACAGTAAAAATTAAAAAAGTGCCTTGTTTACAGGCAAGGGTTCTTGAAGATGTGCAAAAATTCGATTTTTTACATTTTTCTTTGTGTACTATAAATGTTACAAAATATTAGTTGTAGAATATGAGTAAAGAAAAATTGTTGGAATAGTTTAATTATTGTTCTTACTTAAATTTAGACATGTAGGTGTGCACTTGCTACCTGAAAGTTGCACTGGTCATTGTGAGTTAATTCCTAATACTCCCTGGTGTATCAGAGAAGCAAAGTAGGCTTCATCTCCAAATATTTTTATTACCTATGTTTTGTTTATTTTAACTGTAAAAATTTTTGAAAACTAAAAAATGCTCAAAAATATTCTTGTTACTTCAATGAATGGCATTGAGCAGGATGTCTTGTGGTGTGAGGAAACCAAGACAATTGTGACTCTCTGTGTTTTTTTTTTTTAATGTATACAATTTCTATATAATTGTGGCCAAAAAAGCCAAGTCATTATTCTGGATTTAACAAGTATTTTGAGGCTGACTGCCAGTCTAATGGAGCCAATCAGAATCATTTTATGAAAAGTTTGCAATAAAAGCAGCATGCAAATCTTGCAAGGTTGATGTGATCAAAGTGTTTTACAGTTTTAACAATAGTTTGCCTTGTCTGGTATAACATTTGATAACTGGTTACAAACATGTTTACAACTATGATAGACTGATGACTTGAGCTCACTTGTAATAAATAAATTGAGATGCCTAAAGTAGATACCTCTTTAGAACAATTTTTAGGCCTAGAGGTTTTCCAATATTTTGCTGTTTCAACTGCAACTTTTAAAGTATTTTATTGCATGTACATAAATAGTTTCATAGAATCTTCTCTCATTGTCAAGCCCAACTGAATTTTGGTATTAAACAAAATGCTTATTGGGCAATGACTTGTGGGAAGCTAAAGATAGATTTGAAATGTTATTTTTTTACACACATAATTTTTTTTTTTGAAGTTAAGCACAAAGCTACACCATGGACAATCTGTGCTCTGCCTGCAATGGACATTGAAACCCGGTTTCTAGTGTTGTAAGTCTGCAAACATAATGCTGTGCTACTGGAGGGGGGTTTGGAGCAGTGATGGATAAATAAGAGGAATGTGGTAAAACAAACATCTGTAGTTAACTTGTTTTTTATAGCTTTATAATTACATTTTTATCAGAAGTTGCAGATTTGATAGTTAAAAACTTATGACATAATATAATTTTTTTTCACACTGCACAAAACAAATATCAAAAATGTACTAACTATTAATTTACCCTTGCAAAAAATTGTTTATGAATACAAGTTATGTTTACTGGTAGTTAATCTTCATATGATTTGCCTTAAGATTGGATAAACTGTTATAAGGGACTGGTCCACTGACTTATGAAGTTCCCAATAATACTAAAGGAATGAGTTACCTCCTTTTAAGAAAATTAACTATGTGCAACTTTCATTTAAATGAAACAAGATGTACCTATTACTTCCATGTTGGCAAGTTAACTAACTACAATTCAAGCACACTAGTACATAATTGATGTGTGCATAAAAGTTTTTATAAGCCAATGGACTGAAAAATTATTACATATTTATGGACACAATGCAATTTTAAACATAAAGTTTAACCTCATTTTACTACAGCATCATCAGTTTGAATACCAAAATACCAGTAATGAATATAAAATCCATCATATATATAAAATATAAACCTCAAAATTGGAAAAAAATTTAAGGTAAGATTGCTTTTCTTACTTCATCATGCAAGTTTGTATAGATGTTAAGGAATGAGACACATAACTGAATAAGAAAGCAGTTATATATATATATTTCAACATAAACAATGATATATATTACAGGCATACTGCATGGGGTTAAAATAAATTTAAATGAAAGTAAGAGTGATATGACACTTCCTAAGATACCAAGTCTCCCCAATACCATCTTATATAAGGACAACTATAATACCTGTTAATAACAATTATTGTACATAAAAACTACCCCTTAAACTAAAATTATGTAATTTCCTAAAATAAAAGATAAGGCTAATGTGTCATCCTTTCTATCTAGGATATCTGTTACTTTTATCTATTCTACTTGACCATGCAGCTGATAACAGGCAGTGCAGAGACACTGTGCAAGCAAAATGTTAGATACAAAACTAATTCTAGTCGTATGTACAATCCATACTGCAGGAATGCCTGTGTACTTTCCAACCTACTCTGAATCTAAACTGTTTTTTTTTTACAAACAAATTTAGGTATCTATTTTTTTTGTGATTTTAAACAATTCAGTTTTTGAAACATTTGAAATTCCTGAAATAGAATTTACTGAAATGATCTAATTGTCAGTCTTAATGAAATCTTTTGTATAATGAAGATTTATTTAAATCTTAGTTCATTAGTACCATTGGTTAAACCTGTTCTTTCTAAACTTCAGGTTCAAAATGAAAACTACTTGCTCAATAGCTAATTTTTTTTTGTAGTTAGAATATTGAGAACTAACTTTTTGAGGTTATTAACACTGATGATGGAATTTGAAGAAATTCTGAAACATCCATAATTAATGATGCTTTTTGGTATTACAGGGTTTTTAAATTCAAATATATATATATATATGTATATAAAACAGAGAAATGTATAACCCACACCTTGTAAGTTACTTTCTTTCAGGTAAGAACAAAACTATAATTATCAAACTTTATGGAGTGTCTTTCCTTTTCAAATATTAATTACATTTATCATTTGTAATTTTCTAATTAAAAAGCCAATGAATCTTGTTCTATATAGGATAAGAAAACAATTTCAAAAATTCTGACAAATATTACTGTAATGGCTTAAATCACAGGAGTTTTGGCACTTGAAAAATGGAGCACCCAAGTTACTACTATAAAATCAATGTCAACATCACATTCTCTAATACAAACATTTGTCCTACTCTATCAGATGACGTTTCACAAATTACTGTGAAAACTCCCAAACTGTAATATTTTTACCGGTACTCTGAGTAATAGTGATCTAAAACATCAAACACATTTAGAAAATCAAAATCATCTTTATTGTTTAAAATAAACCCTCTTTATTTTCTTCACAAATTTTTTTATTGTTTGATATATGTTTTAACAACCAATGTTATTTAGGGCAACTTAAAATCTGATATATGTATATATATACGTATATATATACAAGCACATAATTTAATATTTTAGCACTAATTTGCTAACTTTTAATATAAGAATTACATTACAAAACAAATTATATTCTTACACGACGTGATTAGACAAGATGCAGGTATTTTTGTGATCTTATTGTATTGAATACTTTGTTTTAACCAAAGTTTCACATACTTTTATACAAACTTTTCTGGCCTAAAAATCAATACCATTTTAATAAACCCTTTACAATAATACACTATAAGGTGATAAAATATTTAAATAATCTTCCATTACTAACCAAGAATAACTTTGATAATGGAGTTTGCTACCACTTCTTTTTTAAACAATATTTTAATCATTTGTAACATTAAGCAGTCATTTATCACTTGAATCTTGGTAAATGTTGAGACAAGGGTGTCGAGAACGTTCAATAAGCTCATGATATTTTCTCCTAAGTATTTGTATTACTTTGTAAAGGCAAGTAGACGTCTATGTACATGACAGCATAATGTGTATCCTACAATAACCATGGAAAGTGGAGGAAGAAGTTTCGAGGCAACAGTCATCACAGAACTTTACAACAGTAGTAAAAGCAGCGTTCATTAATATTTGAATATGATTTGCTAAGATATTAAAAGATATGTCTCACACATGAATATATATATATATATCTATATACATAAAAATCTTCACAGGATACCAGATATTAAGCTCTCAGAAAATTCAAACTGAAGAGGTCCTTGAATTTTTAAAGTAGTCTCACACTGAAGACTATGCAGTTCTGATACATATGTACAATTCTGATGAACATTAGGAATATCATTATTATTATTATACACAAAGTTATACTTTTTGAACACCTTGACTGATTGTAGACTAATGCTAAACAACATTCTTGATGCAGTGACCACCATCAAAAATTCATAAAGTTGTTCAGGTGACACTAATATGAATTGAAGAGCTCTAAAAAAAGGTGTGGAAGAAAAAATACAACAATGACTGTAGATTCAGCTGCTATATAGAAATATTTTGTGGGAGATCATAGGTTCTGCGAGATTCAAGCATTTTGAGAGAATATTCTGGTGATTCTTGCAAACTAAAGTCTGACTAGAAACTGTGACATGGGACCAACTAGCTGCTCAAACAGTTTCTTCATGTTTATAATGCTGTAGAAGAAGTGACCCAGCACAATTTATTGGAAAATTAATTGACCATCAAAGTGTGGGATTCCATAGGAGCAGCAGAGTCATACAAAGTATCTGTGTCTTGAGTAGGTTCACCCTGTAACTGGCACTGATTACTTAAGGTACCAGCCCCACAATCGCAAAAAAAATCTACAAAAAAGTATATATATATATATATATCAGAATAGGTTTTACTAATCTCAAGAAAGAATATTTATTCCAAATCATTTTAGAAACTGTTAGGGCATATAATTATGCTCAAACTCTGTTAAAAAAATACAGCAGTCAAACATGCACACAGATTCTAGAATACTGTATTAAAAATTCTAATAAGCTGAATTTAAAAACAGGGAACATAAATTGCAAGAAAATTTCACATTAAAAAAATACATACCTGTCATGTCGAATAAACTCAACATCATGTCTTGCATGGCAAGTATTAATACAGTTCACACAGATGGCATTTCTTTCTGTGGTGTTGCATGTGCGACATCTAGGAAATGGTAAAAGTTATATATATAAAGGAATGTGTGTACTTGTCACTGTTTTTAGGTTTTATATTTTTTTTCAAATCTTCATTATTGTAACAAACAATAGTTTACTCTCTGCCCTTTTTGTCATAATGACTTACCATGGAGTTCAAAATACAATTCACCAAAATTTTTCATTCATCTTATAGTTTTATTAGGAAAAAAGATTTCTGTATTTGATTTAACTGTACACTATTATGATCTTATCAAAGACCATTCCAATGTAGAAGCACTTCTTTTATCAACTTCAACAGAATCCTGGTTCATTGCATCTTAATTTACTACTAAGTATTTTTCTTCCTTATGCATGTTAGTTATTTCATTTTTTTTTCAGGGTGTGTGAAAAAAAAATTACAAACCTGTAAAAATCATGCATGGGAAAGCTAGTATAGCTGGAAATCTTATACAAACACTGTCCACCAGAAACTGCTTTCTCTACAGCATTGTGGTTATCAAAAATCTTGTTTTCTGTTTATAAAAGAAAAAGGTCACTCAGATTGCAATGAAAATATAAAGCTAATATAATGAAAATGTTTTTTTCTCACTGCAAACAATTTTTGTCATAAGGTTTCACATTGAAAAAACAAAGTAATAATGCATATTTTATAATAAGTCTGTTGAAGTTCTTAAGGTGAACTAACTTGCCAACTCAACCCTATACAACACTTTAGATCTGTGTCATGAAGTGTAATATTCCATTATATTAAAAGATTAAACTAAATTTTTTTTCATTTTAACTCACTTTTAAGGAATTTCTGATATAACTAATATTTAATGTGAAAAGTTATAAAAATATGGCTCGAATTCATATTTTCCAACCTTATCTTCATATATGCCAGTGTTCCAGTTGGTTTATGGAGCTATTACAAGTTTCCTAATGTAATTAAAAGCAGCGTGATTTTCATCTCTTATTCGTAAGCTTTTAGCCAGAGACTAAATTCATTTACAAATGTAAGCTTTAGCATAAAAATTATAGACTGAGTACATTATAAGGATTTTGAATATGCAAATCTACAAGTCACATAACAATCACACTTGATACAAAGTCACAGAGGAAGGGGCATGTATCAGAAATACATTTTGACTAGGGATGCATAGGTACTTGGCCAGATATTCAGCCCCAGCTAGGTACTGGGCTACCCGGTAATACTCGGCTCAAGTCGAGGGTCAAAGTTAGGCATCTAAGCCCTTATATTTGTGGCAACTAACACGGTACTGAAACTTACAGTCATTAACTGGTTTAGTTAAAAAAAAACTGTTCTGAGCAATAAAGACTGACCACCCGCTGGGGAAAGTGGGGTTTTTGAGAACAATAGGGGTTAGGGTTTGAGAAGTTGGGGCTAGGCATTGAAAACTGAAAGTAAAACTTGAATGTTCTGTTGGTGATTATTTGGTTAAATGATGTAATAAATGTCAATTTTGTTTTTGTTTCTAATTTTTGTGTATGTTTTTTTTTGGGGGGACTCGGTCCCAGTTGATAACCGGCCCCAGCCAAAGCTTAGTGACTGGGTACCTGGACCCAATATTCAGCCAAGTTTTACTACCCGTGTACCCCTAACTTTGACACTGGCAATTTGTAAGTAGTATCAATGCCACAAAATTTATTACTTTGGGGAAAGGTATGTAACAGCCCTTTCTGATGCAAAATATTCATACTCTCAAATTATAAACATATGTTCAGATCAGGAATTTAGAGTTTCCAAAACAGGATATCCCTTGTGCAGAAAAGCACTGGTAAACAAAGGAATATAAACATTTTACTCTTGTTTCATAAATGTATTTATCTTTATTTCAGTTGTCATCCAACCTTCACCTCCTTTTTTGACATATTTTCACAACCAACATGATAATTATTTATTTTCACATGCAGTCTAAGTTTCAAATATATACAAAGTCCCTAAGTGAATAACAACTTGTTTAGTTACTAGGAAAAAGCCTGTCATACAGGCTTGTTTCTTCTTTCTAAGAGCCTGCAGTTTATTAGTCAAAATCGTTTTCTTTTGTAAGACTAAGAGCCTGTTGTTCACAAACCTGACCACATCTAAGGTAAGATGTGCTTTTATGCAAATATTCAAATAAGGTTTCTTTACTGAAATTAGTTTTCAGTGTATTTTGTGATTTTTTGTTTTAGTCTATACACCCGTATTTCACCAACATAAATGGAGTGATATCTTTTAATAAATGTAATGTCAGAAGCATTCACAATTTTATGTATAAGCCAAAGAAACTGCTTATATGTACTAGTTCTGCCTGCAACTTATACAAAATATTAATTTATTGTGTTTATTAAGTGTCCAGGATAGTAATGACTAATAAAGTATTTTCCTTTACAGTGTGAACAGTGAAAATCTTACATAACAGTGGAATCTCACAACTAAAGTATCTGCCAAATAAAAATCATGAATAGGAATTGCAAGGAATTGCACAAAACCCTAATAGAATGTTCTGGCAAAAAGCACCTTAAACAGTAAAGATTCGGTTTAAACAACACTTTAAAACCTTTACTATTGACTGCTAAAGCTGTAGACATATAAAAATGCACTAAAAAAGCACACGTTAAACTTACAAGGAAAAGAAAATTGCTCAAAATGGCCCATTTGTAGTTCTTTTTATTATTATTATTATATTGCCAGCCTATAAACAAAAAACGGCTCGGTGCATTGCACACAAACCTTTTGCAGGTTACTAAATAAGGTTCTGTGAAGGTCGTAGAGGTATTGAAAAATCGATTTGTTTTTTCCATATTTTACATAAGCAAAAAAACATCATAATTCTAGTGTAAAAGATGTTATCATTACTCCTTGAAGTTAGCTTTCCAACAAATATATGGTGTTCCTTTAAAAAGTTTAAGTACAGAGTGAAACAGGAATTACCAGCCAATAATAGATGAACATTAGATGGCTGTAACATGTAGGTACTCAATGCATTGTACACTATACAATCAAAGTTTTTAAGGAGCCAACCCCTATATTATGTATGATGCAAAGGATTAAAAAAACAAAAAAGACATATATTAATAAAATTTATCACACACATTACTTTAAAAAACATGAAAATTTATTTAAAGCAAAGTTTTAGATGTGCATTTTATTTGAAAAGGCTGCTTTTCTATTGGGAACATTTTACATGCTTCTGGTGAGAATTTAGTTACACAGAATCTATAAATGCTCACTATATTCTCAAACAAATCTTCATGACAATCTACAGCTGCAGCTTAACATTTTACATCTTGAACTAATGTTATCAAATAGTCAATAACCACAGTAAATCATCATGACTGTATCAGTAAGCTACCATATCAAGTAATCCTTTGCCCATAGTTGAGCATAAAAAAGCCAGTAAACAAGATAAATAAAAAATTTGTAACTTAAAAACATGCAAAGAAAGATTGTAAAAACAAGTAAGCAAACACGGCTAAAGATACTGTAGACATTATTTGCTCAGACTACAAATCCCTACTTTGACTCACCAAATGTAATTCTAGGAAACAATATTAATTCTTGCATCTGCTATTATGTAGGGATGATGCAAATGTCATCCCTACTATCTTGTTTGCATTGTTTTTGAAGG